TATACTTTGCTATCATTTCTTTAACTAAAATTTTTTTCATTTTTATTCTAAAAAATCAAAAAAGAAAAGAAAGTTTATTTCTGTGTACTTAACTTTAGTGTATTTGTAATTATTAGTAATTTTGGCTTGTTTTTAATCCACCCAAAAAATTTAAAATTAAAAGAGCTCGCCGTCGTCAGCAATTTCGTCATCTAACCGAAAAATAAGGTATTGCAGGTATGATAGACGCCGGTTATGGTTTACGAAAAATTTTACGACGAGTTGAAGCTAATCAGTCAAGAGTTTTTGGAAAAGGTGTTCCAATGATCAGACTTATCGGTCTCGTGCCCTAGAATATTGCAAGACCGTCATTTCTGCCATCTTAGACTTCTTGTTCTTAGACATAGACAAGGCAGTGTACATGAAGTAAGATATTATTTAGTTGTAGCTTTAGGAGGGCTAGTCTTAAGAAGAAGAAGTAATCATAAGGCTTGACGCTTGGAATGGTGTAGAGCTCTGCAAAACTAGAATGGCCAATAGAATTTTGTCTACTTTAGTGATAAATTTAGATTTTGTTTGGCTGGTGGGTTTGTTTTGGTGGTTTAATGAGTGCATAAGTGTAAGACATTTTCGAGGTGAAAGTCGAAATATAGGCTTGGCTGTTGAAAGTCATACGGCATATGCATTATGATATGGGGTGCTATAGGTTTGGAAGCTAATCACCCCTAGTTCCTATTAATGGTACTTTCAGAGCTCGACGATATATTGGTAAAGTACTACAACCGATTTACATGCCTAAATACAAACCATTTCAAATGCTCTCTTTCATCAGGGTATCGCAAGACCTCATATTGCCCATCAAACCATGGAGGTCATACAGGAATTTAGTTTATCATAGATATTTTTGGAGTAGCCCTTAAGATCAGCTAATTTGTCAACCATCAAATATGTGTGGTATATGGTAGATCGAAAGATAAATCGATTGCCACGTCCTCCAGCAAACTTAGATGACCTGTGTCATACCATAAGAAGCGTCTGGATGAGTATTTCGCAATATGACATATACCACTTAATTCGACCAATGACCCATAGAGTAACTGAGTGTATAGAAAATCAAAGAGGAGCCACTAATTATTATTTGTTTGATAAAAATGACATTGCAAATTTGTTCAAAATGTTACCAAGTAATAAGAATATTATCATCTCAATAATTATTAGACATCTCTATATTATTATCAATAAATGAATAGTTAATATATAAATAAATATAATATAATATATATATATATATATATATATATATATATATATATATATATATATTAGAAGATATTACATATTAGTCACTACATATAAAATGTATTTTAAATCTAATATATGTTGTTTATTGCTGTTAGTTTATCGTTTAAACAATCAGTTCTTTTAACATCATAGATCTTCTGCGATTATCTTTTTGTGTGTTTTTAAATTAGAATAAAATATATTTTGTTTACATTTTTGACATCTTTTTTTATCATTTATTGTGTTATTATTCTTTTTGATTTGTATAGACTCTAGAAGCTCCCTCTTCTTCTTGTTATGTTTTACTTTTTTACCTTAACTTTTTAGGATCTTGGTTTTGTCAAAATCAAATTTAAGTTTCTTTTTGTTTTCATGTTTTGTGAGGGCGGTTGAGTTTGTTTTTTGTCATATTTTAGGGAACAGATTCTTAAATTAAGTATACCTATATATTATATACCAGTAATATATATATTAACCAGTGTTGTGGATAAAACATCTCCTTGTTTTACCCTATTTTAACATTTATTAATTTTCATAAAGACTTTATGTGGAATTTTTAATTTTGTCGCTACTATCATTAGTTCTTTTCTTTTTTTCGACTGAAATTCCTATGTGAAGTTTGTTTCTTCCATTTATTGATCTTACGTTTGTGAACCTATATTGGTATTGTCCCAGTCATTTTTTACGTCGAAATTTTTTTATTTTTTTCTTTTCTTCTTTTTCTATATTTTTTAATAGTGGTTGTATTTTTTCCTTAGATCCATCCTCCGATTGCGTAAGTTCCATGTTAATTTTAATTTAATTTTTAATTCCACAATTTTATTTTAAAACCAATTTCTACCCTATATGAAGTATATTATCCCTTAAATACTTAGCGATACTTAAGATAAGGAAATTCTAATCGGTGTAACACTTTATTAGGACAGCAGGCCAGAAAGCGGACTGGCAGTCTTCTTATAGAGACACAGCATCCGGATGATATCTTCTCTGAGGGATCGATGTTGTTTAAATTTGCTTGAGAACCACTAGTTAACTCTATAGTTAACTTAAGTTACGCTTAATTAGCTCAAAGGCTAATTAAGCCTTTGAATATAGGATCACTAAAGTCTATTAAACCGGACTTTATGTGTAATTTTTAATTTTGTCGGTACTATCATTGGTTCTTTTCTTTTATTCGAATGAAATTCAATCATGAAATGTCAATCCGTACTCCGTATTTCGTAAGTTCAATGTTAATTTCGTCGTTATCAGGAGTTTTTTCAATTATGTTCTTCTGTGTTATTTCTTCCAATTATTTCATTATCTCTATACTCTCACTACTTTAAAATTGTCTACTAATGTCTACTTCGTCTGCTTCTTCTTAGTGCACTCTTTCCTTTTAATATGTATATATATATATATATATATATATATATATATATATATCCGGTTTTTTTAGGCGTTACGCCCGTCCGGTAGGAATCTATGGAGGAGTATCACCGAGCCGCAAGCCCTTATCTCTTGCCGTACTGCTCCACCATAGGCCGATCAGATCCCAGCATATCCTAGTCTAAGCCGCAGATTGATCTAGAATTTTAAACTGCTGCGTTAGACTTTTTGTTTTCTGTACACTGAGCTGGGGCTGGATCCCACATCCACTGAACCATTCGACAGTGAAGCGAATGAGAGGCAGCCGCACAGCCCGCTGAGCTATCTGACCGACTTTTTAATATACATACATAATATACAGATTAATATAGTACTATGATATATTTCCGTTGATAGCATTAGTTAACATTTTAGTATATAGGCCAGTTAGCAGAGAATTGACCCCTAAAAATCATACGAACAAGCTGAATTTTGCAGAGAATATTATTTTGGGACCCCAAAAAAGACGCAAAAAAGTTTACCAATTTTGTGGTAAATGTAGCTGAAATGATTTTAAACCAAAATTTTTATACTTATGCATTTTTTGTGTAGAATGAACCGTTCTCTTAGAAACAACGCTTGAAGCTACTGTCGATTTTGCGTGTCAGTTACGTGCTTGAAATCAATGTTCAATATAATTTTCGATCAGCTCGACGGTAAAAATTCGATATCTTTAGAGCCGAATGTCCTATCGACAAAAATCAAGATGCTTTTTAAACGCAATAATATAAAGGGTGTGGCAGCCTAGTGACACTGCCAGTAGAAGTTATACTTCTATACACGCGTTCGCCGTTACAAATTTATATGGGAGTCAATCGGTACAAATATTATACCGGGTGGTGAATCGTCAAACGGGCCATAGGAAACTCAATGAGAAATTTTAAATTGTTAAATTGCTGCTTTCCTAATTATTTTAGATCAAAAGTTATAAAAAAACTATTTGTAGAGGACTAAAATCTGAATTAAAAACAAATGTTAAAACCGTTCTACGAATCAACTGTACTTCAAAATTTTGAAAAAATGTGATACATTTTTCAAACCACCCCTAAAAGTTAGGCCACACGTAATGCAAGAATATATATTAGGACGTGTTTGTTTTATCATATTAATGTCAGATGCTTGACAATTTGAATTGTCAATTTTTTTATTTTATGATTAATTTATAAACAATGAAGTTTACTAAATACTACTACTACTACTGAACATTATTACTTTGTGAACAATAATAGTACATTGTTTACCGGGTAGGAAAAGCTTAACATTCCTGGATGACTGTGAAGATTGCTAAGTCGAGGCGCAAGCCGAGACTTAGCAACACAGAGTCCAGGAATGTGACTTTTCCTACGAGGTAAACATACTATTTTTCCGCAAATCGTTTAAAATTCGACAGATATTGATTGATTTAAAAAAAAACGCGATAATTTTATTCCCAAATAAATGGTGCTTTGAAATTCCTAATAAAATTACTTGGGTTACTATGGAAACGTATAGAGGTAGAATTGTCAAACTTCTATCATTTATGTAGAACACTAACAACTGTACGGAAATATCATTTCCTTACAGTAAGGAAATGACATTTCCTTACAGTAAGGAAGTCCTGACCATGGCATGTTATCTTTAATGGCAATGACGGTTCATTCTCTTTAATTCTTGACTAAACTAGAAAGGTGGCGCCACCAAAAACTTTCTTCAAATGCGCATGTCATCGCATCTGCAAAATCCATCGAGCAAAAAGATAAAAGAGGGAATCTAATCGTTATGAAAAGGAGACCAAAAAAGTGGCCTCTGATGGCGGACATATCCGGAAATGCAAAGGCGCTAAATTTAAATTTTCCAACACTTATTAACAATAGCTATAAAATATTTTTCAGACGAGAAAGTTTTAATTAAATATTAACTATAATAGTCTAAAAAGTGACACAATTGGTAAAAGATTTCAATATAAATAAAATTTCATGTGACAGTTGGGACAAACAATAACATAACCTAACTAAATTTGACTTCTTAAACAAGGAAAGAGACTGTCTGTCCTTGTCTAAAGTGGCCTCTCAAGATGGCACTTCCTGTCTATCAATATGTTTACCCCCACTACCTTTACATTCCCTCTTTTGTCTTATTGCTCGATGGCAAAATCCCAACATTCTCTCCCAACCACAGCATAGGCACAGTATAGTGCTTTAAGAGAATAGAAGCACTATACTGTGGCATAGGTACAAATTTGTACCCAACAACAACAACACAACGCCATTTTATTTTGTCTATGACACGGTGTTTGTTTATGTCTTTGGATTTATATTATTTAATTGTGTTTTTTTTACTCACTGTTTGGCTTTATAGCAAAGACTTTTACTTTAAAGTAAAAATTCAGTTTATCTGAAAATTTTTTAATACAGCTTTAAAATGGAGTTTAAATGCTGTGTACCCGGCTGCAAAAAAGATGCTCAAATGCATATTTTTCCGAAAAAACAAGAGGTAAGTGATAATTAATATTTATTTTAATATTAAAATGAAAAATAGCTTTTATTTTGATTTGCCATTAATATTTTAATAACGATTAACGACCAAGATATTCGTAAGTATGTATTAACCTTAAAATGTTTTAACCTTGCTTGTGTTAGAACAAATGTAAAAATATCCAGAAATTGAAGTATTTACAGATACAACAAAAAAAGGAAAGAAGTAATAGATAATATGATTTACATTGCTATTATTGTTATGGACTTTAAATATTTTTTTTTAGACTATATCTATTAGACACTAATTATTGTATGTTTTTTGGGCAAATCTATAGAATAAGTGCCGAGAATTTGACATAAACGTCATGTCAAATTTGTGTCTGCGGTATTGCCATGTCCTTATTATGTGTATGTTTTATGCCTCAAATATGCTTTGAAACAGTACATTTTTATTATATTATTTTATGAAATCGGGTATTTTTTTAAATTTTTTGAATTTATATGAAACACGAACGAATGAATATTTGTTTCTTTTGATATTAGTTGCAGTTAGTTATTACAAAAAAAAAATTATAATTGGCCTTTGGTAGATTAGTAAAAAAACTTGGCAATACTGTCAAATTTTTGAAAACAGTAGTTGCCAGATTGCAACAGATGTTTAGCAGATTTCAATTTTATGATTTTTATGACTATTTTCTTATAATTTTGGGGTGAAATGGTATCTGAATATCGTTTTGTTAATGTATTAGCTAGTTACTGGAGCTTGTTCAGATCGATATTTTTTCAAATTTACGTTGCAGAGATTAAATTATCATTATTGACAATTTAATCCTTAAAATGTGAATAACAAAGTAAAAATACATCGGTAAAGATGTTTAATTAACTTTAATAACTTAAGAATTTAAAAGCTTAAAAAATTAAAGTTAATTTAAATTATAATAAATTAAATTTAAATTAATTAAACTTCTTTCAAAACACTAATTAATATTATATCGCATGCTCTTTCAGGATTTATTTGTGAGATGGCAACACTGCCAAATACAGATCTGTCACTAATCTTCTGTCAGTTCCTCGGCACTTGTTCTATAGGTCTGCCGTTTTTTGTAGCTGTATAATGTTTGGATTAAAAGGATTGGCCATCCCAATTTACAAGAAATGCCAATGGAGAAGGTACGAAAATCATACCGTGTATGTAATGTCCATTTGGGCCAGATGCACAATACATTGGACTAATAAATAAATCTACTATTATAAAAGATGCTATTCCATCTTTATTTTTACCACCAAGTAAGTATGTTTACGTTCTTAAAATAATTTTGTTACTTGTAAATTGTGTCGTTAATTTTTTAAATAAATATTTTAATTTTTGAATTTTGTTTTTCTTCCTTTCCTTTCCTATTATGTGCAGTCTGTTCATAATTGCAATAAAAGATTCCACAATGTAATGCAAATTACAAAAAATAATCGTTAATGTTAATGTAAAAAACAATTGTCGATTATTTTTTATAATTTGCATTATGTTGTAGAATCTTGTTTTACTACAATAATTAGCAACAAAGCTTATTCGAACGTTTAAAATTCCCGCCGCGTCATTACACATTTAGTTCATGACTAAACCAGGCAGAGGGCGCTGTATACATTGCAATTTTTTGTATTAAAGAGTTGCCTATCTATCTCTACTTATATATATTTAATCTATGGTCCTGACTTTTTCTTCAAGAACTTTTGACAGGAATGTCAAAATTTCCTGGCGATTTGCGGAAAATAATATTGTTTACAAATCGATCAATATAATGAAATGTACTCAGTTGACGAAAAATCGCATAACGTTGTATTCAGGCAATAGCGCGAACCTTTTCCTGCCACTACCGGATCTTTATTTAACGTAAGATATTCTAATTCACTAAAATTTTATTCCATGTTAAGTATACAACAATTCAATGAATTCCAATATACTGTTACTGTGATCTTTATTCCTAATAATAATATATGATTATTTCTAAATATAAAACTATAACAAATGTTATAATAAAACATGAATAAAACATTTTTATTATTGCTTTTTTCTCCTCAACTGAGTACATTTTTTAATCAACTTAATTTTTTTTAAACAATAAATCATAAAATTTTGGCCATTTAAATCATAGATAAATATAATATAATTGATTTAAATATTGTCAAATATTAGAAACAATAATATGACAAAACGCAACACGTAATACACATTTTTTCACAGAAAAATGTATTATATTTTAGCAAAATTTTGGAATACATTTAAGTCGTAGAATAATTTTAACAGTTGTTTTCGATACATATTTGAGTCCTCTACAAATAGTTTCCCATGACTTTTGGTGTAAAGTAATTAGGGAAGCAGGAATTCAACAATTTAGAATTTACCATTGAGTTTCCTATGGCCCGTTTGCCGATTCACCACCCTGTATATGTAACGCTATAGGTAAGCAATTAGGTATATAGGTATATGGTGCATCGTTTGCTGTATATCAACAGTTGATCTGTAATAGGAGTATAGTAAATGAATGATTGAATCAATATTTTAATAATAATCTATTTTGTATTTTCATGTGTGTATGAAAGGAGTTGAATGCAAAAAAAATTTGTTTACACATATTCTGCAGTAAAATGCATTGTTTATTTTGTTATTGATTATAAAAATACAATACAATACACTGCAACATAATTGAATATAATAATACAATACAAATTAAAATGTAATATTCATAAGTATTTAAAAATGGCAATATACATAACTTACCTATGCATATGTTTAATTTGTCATGATAATAATATTAATAAATATTACAAAATAAAATATTTACAAATTTAAATAATAATAATAATATATTTACAAAATAAACATTTTTATCTTCGAGAGAGAAAATATATCTTACTCTTACCTATATCTTACATATGTAATGATTTTGCCGATTCACTCCCGTACAAATGTCCAACATCGAACGCGCGTATAGAAGTATTATTTAATATGATCAACGGACGTCAGATCAATAGAATTGATCACTTTTTTTACCAGTTGTAGTAAAATTTTCATTTTTAGAGATCAATTTTGAAAAGCTATAAAATAAAATTTCAATTTGTGGTAACAAATATGAGGCATTTGAAATTTGAATAAAAACGCATAATTTAATGTTTCGCATTACAAACGATCACATGTCACGGGAAATTAAAAATTCAGAAGACTGTTTTGGGTGTAGTTTATTGCAGAAGCTTTGTTTTTTTTTTAAACGTACTAGTGTAATTAGAATAAAAAGTTTTAAATATGTTAAATCGTTTGTTGTGTGTAAGCTTAAATCCAGCGTTTTTTAAGCATGTTTCAAATGCCAATCATGTGTTGCCAACACTTAAAATTATAATTTCATGCTATAGTTTTTACAATTTTAAATGTAAGGCTCTAGTTATCGAAACTTTATGACTAACCAATGAAAGTAATAGATTGTATTGATCTCGTGAGGATCATAAAAAAAGCAAAACTCGCGCTACGGTAATTTATTTAACACCTATATAAAATCTGAGCAAAATACAAAAACTTTATAAAAAAGCTAAACTCTTTTCCTAAAAAATGCATCCTGATTTTTGTCGATAGACCACTTAAATCAGAAGATACCGACTTTTACCAACGTTGCTTCAAACGTTATTTTCTAAGAGAACGGTTTTTTTTTGTTTTTTGCCTTAGGTACAAGACCTATTTAGCCAGACAATATAGGTATAAGAATATAGAATACATAAAAACAATCCTTCAAATTCATAACAATTTCCTAACCGTTCGTTCATTCGCACCACATTCACTCAATTTCCTAACCTTCCCATTAACAACACTATTGTGTGACTATACAAAAAGAATTGAACAGAACACACGCTTCACGCTAAGGTGCCCTTCATAGCGACTTTTTTGTAACACAAACAATACAGGCAACGGTTAAAGGTAAAAGACATAAAAGGAAAGACAATGGGAAATACAACAACTAACGTCCTACCATTTCGGATTCACACAACAACACTGAACGGGGCAGTTTAGATTTTCCGTTTGGTACGTTTGAAAAATTCCCATACAATTGATGATCTTATAGTTGAATTTCGACTACCTAAATACATAATAGAAGCAACGTTCTGCGGCAAAATGATTTTTTCTTGAGAGATGGCTTGAAATAAAAATTTTATGGCTTCTTGATTATACCGACATTGAAACATCCAGTGGTTAAGATCGTCATAACTGCCATTACATTCACATATATCAGTTTCGGAAAGTTTTATTTTATATAAGTAAGCATTTACTGTAGCATGTCCAAAAAGGCATCTAACGTACATAGTATAAATTTTCCGAGAGATGGGACTTCTGTCACTTAGAGGAGTAGATGGAAGAGTTGGATATATACTGCAGTATGTATTTTTGCTACTGTTTAGTAAAGGATTGCCACTCAATTTCCCAATTATATCTAACATATTTCTTCCTAGCTGAAACTATATCCCATTGGGGCAACTCGTTGTACTCTATACCCACTAAAGTAGCGTCTTTAGCCAAATGGTCTACTTTTTTATTACCTATAATATTAAAGTGACCTTTAACCCACACAAAGTTAACAATTCTTTTTAAAGAAGTTAAGATTCTTAGCTTTTCAAGCGCATCTACAATTAGTCTGTTGGTATATATTTGTTTAGAAAAGTGTCTTAATGCAAGGAGGACGGACTGTGAGTCAGATAAAATTATATATCGTTCGAAATAAAATGTGCTATTAATTATCCAATCCAACGCCTTGACAATGGCTACCAATTTAGCTGTGAATATTGAGAAGAGAACGGTTTATTCTACATAAAACATGCTTATAAATATTTTTATTTACAATTATCTCGGCTACATTTTCATTTGAAATATTTTTTCTACGGTGTGAAAATTCTTGGTTAATCGATTTTTTTTTGCGTTCTTACCCCCCTGTGGGTGGGTTTTTATTGGGAAGCCCAGGGTAAAAGTGGTAAACAAAATTCAGCTTGTTCGTATGATTTTCGTCTCTGGCGACTGGAATATATAGATTAGAACGAAAAATAGTAATTATTGACTAACTTTTACAACTTCAATACACATAGTAATTTTACATCCAAATCATTGTGTATATTAAGTCAATTAATATAACCTATTAGCAGATATAATCGACCAACCCTTAGCATCAATCTTGTTAAAAACTCTTTTTCTTTACTAAAACTTTTAGTTCTTTTTTTCCTGAATAAACTTACTCGAAAAATAAACAAAGTAACAATAGGGACAAAATAAGACAAAGTTTGTAAAAGTTTTCTTGTTTTTTCAGATGGCATGCCAGCGAATGGGGAGCATGTTCGGTTAGTTGTGGTGGTGGAGTAAAACTTCGCCAAGTCCATTGCGTTGAAGAAACAAACAATACGAAAATAATGGTAAGTCTAATAAGAGATTTTCGGTAATAGAATTAATAATAACTTCTAATTGAATTAAGCGTTAATTGGAACAAAGAACATTATTGAACAATGGTTAAATAAATTAATTATTATATAAATAGTAAAAAATTTTACTATTTATAACACTTTTGTATAGTGCCATAGAAAAAAATCGTAATTAAGGTTAACTTTGTGCACTAATATTATGTCACTCTACTTTAAAACTAATACTGCCATTACGTCTTAATTCTTTGGATCTACATGCAATAACATTTTAAATTGTCAAATTTGATATTCAGTGATGGTAGCTAAACAATTAATCAATTCTATAGAGCTACTTATTTTATAGACCTCTTAGGTAGAGTAGAAAGGTGTTTAAGTACTCACGCTTATGGAACCTAACCTAACCTAAGGTAGTGTCGCCAATTAAGGCCAGTGTCTTAATTAGGCCAATAGCAAATATTTTCTTAAATACAGATATTATATATTAGAGGTCACCGTAAATCGTTTTCTCAGTCAAAATCGTCCACGCTATTCAGTCGGTAGTATCACATAGCAGCGTCAAGTAAACTAGACACTTGTTTGTTACGGTGCCGAAGTTCGTTTATAAATTTGAGGTAAGTTATAAAATTACTAAAATGGTACTTAGTGAATATATGCCAATTATTTTTTCTTTGTAAAGCGATAGTAAATTAATACTTGTTAAGGAACTGGAACTGTTTTTTCGCTATATTGCTTTTTATTATTTTTTTATGTTAAATAAAAAAAGTAGACAGTGTCCTAATAAAGCCAATTGACTGGCCTTATTAGGAGTGGACTGGCCTTATTAAGAGCTGGTGAACTTTACATATATTTCTGTACATAGTGACTTAAAATATTTTTTCTTTGCAGATATGTCCACCAGGAAAAGGGCACAGTGGACCGAAGAGGCCATTGAAGCTGCAATGAATGCCGTACGAGATGGCATGGCTGTTTATAAGGCAGCACTTACATTTAATATTCCTCGGCGTACGTTACGAAACCATCTAGCTAGTGGCAGTTTACAAAAACGAATTGGTCGGCGTCCAGTACTTACAAAACTCCAGGAAGAAGAATTGGTTAGACGTATAGGAAGATTGTGTGACGTTGGTATGCCATTAACCCCCAAAATATTACGAAAAAATGTGTATGCTTTTGTAAAAGAGGCAGGAAAGGCATCCATTCTCAGTTAAAAGGAAGATAGCTGGAAAAAATGGATGAAATTGTTTTTCTCAAGGCATCCTGACATTGCAAAGCGTCGGGCTCAAAAACTCAATTTGGCCAGAGTACAAAAATTAAATCGTGTAGTTATCTGTGACTATTTCGAGAAACTTCGAGACGAGCTTCAACCAGTCGATAAAGCAGTTTTCAGAAGTTTTGAGTCGTACTGGGATAAAGAGGTGTTAAATTTTTGGGTGAACCATAAAAATGAAAGAACCATCAACCGAGCAAGATTTGGGCAAATCTTTACGCCGGCTTGGAGAAAGTCAATGACACAAAAAATATTTGTTCTGGATTTAAAGCAACTGGGATATGGCCATTCAATCCAAATGCTATTCCGGATGCTGCCTGTGCACCTAGCTGTCTAACACACCGAGAGATTGAACCAATAGCCGAAGATGCTGAAGAAAGTCCTATAACCGGACCAAAAATTGTACGGACTGCCCAAACCAATACACATTTCGAAGAACAGCCATCCTGCAGCAATGGCAGTGGTGTAAACCAAAAATCTAAAAGCAAAGCATTGTCGAATAGTGAAAAAAGGAAAATTAAAAAAAAAAACAGGACTGTATAAAGTTTTTCAAACTCAGATGAACATCTCAGATGAAGACAGCGACTCATCTGGGTCTAATACAAGCGATACAGCTTCCAGCGAGGATTATGAGAAGAGTGATGTAGTTTACACAGATAATCCTGACAATAATATGGTGGCAAAAATAAGTGAAACAGAGCCATGTGAAGAGCTGAATGCAAGTTTTAGTTCCAGTGGTTTGCTGACTACACGGGAGTTGAAAGTATCAACAAAAAAGCGTCGACAAGCCATTAATGCGAAAGCACAAGAAGTTACCAGGGATCTATTTAAAGGACAATCTCATAGCTCAGCCAAACCTAAACCTAATTTAAAAAATGATCCAAAACCAAATTTAAAAAAAGACTCATGGTACTGCTTCTTGTGTGATGAGAATAGAGTGGCTGACATGCGCAAGTGTGTTCGGTGTAATAAGTACATCCACGAGGAATGTATAGGGTTAACAAAAAAGGATAAGGACATATTTGTATGTTCTAGATGTGAATAAATGTGCGATATGTGTGCTTAATGTATTGACAATTTTTTTTTTAATGTGAATAAAAGTTTCTTTCACTAAATTTTGTATTTGTTCTTTAATTCTTAGGTTTAAAATTTATTATCCACCTCAATTTGTGTAAAACATGAAACTGGCCCTATTAAGCTATCAATTCCTAATAAGGCCAAATATTCCAGATTTATTCAATGTTAAAATTTTATATTTATTTATTTATTAACTATTTTATCCTGAAATTTGATAGCTAAAATGTTAGGCAATACGTATACAAGAGTTTTCCCCCATATTGTTCCTGAATAAAATATTACAGATATTTAAACCTTAAAGTGGCCTTAATTGGCAACTGTACCTTACTACTACTGCCGTGAACAGATTTTTGGCTAGGTAAATAGGTTCTAAAGTAGTTATTTTCAGATTTTAGCTAATTCTAAAGTACGTGCTTATTCTTTAAAAATTTTAAAATACTTAAAATAGACCACATACAAGCAAATTCTATAAATTACCTTCTTTCTTTGACTTTATATATAGTGTTTATATTACAGTCCTGACAAGTGGACGTGTACAAATTTATTACTCTAAAACCATCCTAAAATTATTAGGTTCTCTGAGATGTAGCAAACTGGTCACCGTCTTCCTTTGGAGATCCATAAACTGATCACCTCAAATAAGTGCTCATCATCAGCGTTTTGCCCCAAGGCGCGGGTTACTAATGCGGAAGGTTTCCCATTACCTGTTACACCTTTCATCTGCATGGTCACCTATTAAATTCAGAAACTATTTTAAGCAAATTGTTTTAAAATTTAAATGATATATTTGTATCAGGTGCAAAAGTTTTTTCTGAAAGATGTAAACTTTCGCACATTTCGTATAGCGCGTAGGACAAAAAACGATAAGATTAAATAATTCTCGATTATCAAAGCAAATAGAAACTTTATGCACTAACCGTTTAAAATTGGAAATAAGCAGGAGATATTAGTTGGCATTTCCGTGTTTGATATTGTATCAGCTCGAGTATCTGTCGAGGCAGGGATGTTAAAATGATGTCATAACACAATGTCAATGTGTCGTAACAACAGAGCGATATAAAAACCTATTTAGAAAATAAAATAGTACAAGAGCAAATATATATATATATATATATATATATATATATATATATATATATATATATATATATATATATATATATATATATATATATATATAACGGATTGATTACGGCTGTCACCGCTTCTCCGCCCCCAATTTCCATCTTTTTCTGTCATATGCAGTTGTCTCTTCTAGGTCGAACCCACTGCTAGGGCAAATGGCTGAGTCAGCTGAAAAATCGATATCAAATACATAATGAAAGCCTGCAAGAATAAAGCTGATATTAACAGATTATTGTATTTGGTTTACCCTCAGTTACCTAAGGATTTTCTGGAACAAATTGGTATACAGACATTCCAGGCCTGTACACCGTTACCTGAAGAGTATTTGAGATGCCAACAAAAGTTTTCGAAATTTATAGTTGTCATCTTGTCAAAGCATTGTAACGAAAATGGTGTTTGATAAAATTTTTTTCAAGAAGTGTAACAATATATATATATATATATATATATATATATATATATACAGTGTAGGAAAAAGTTTATAGTCGGTATGGACCTTACGTGAGATGGAGTGAGAAACAGCTGTTTAGAAAGAGAGAGGTATATTAGGTCCGCCCTTTATATCGCCAAACATTCCACATGCGTGGAAATAATAAAAAAGGGGAAGTTCAACGTTGCCAAACTTATTGGTTTTATTTGACATGTTGTCTTTTTTGCATTTGAACAATGTTCTAAGATAATCAAATTTGGGCGAAATTGATTTAAATGGCAGCTTCCTGTTTTTTTATTAAGAATATGCCACACGTTTACTTTACAATAAGTGTAATATAACATTTTGATTTCCCCTTCGGAAATCGTTTTATATAAATAAAATTTATTAATGTTTCGTATTTTACGTACGATTGAAGGGAGTAGAAGAAACCATATAGGTTGGACTGTATATTTTGCGCTGGTTATGAACTTCTTGTTGAAATAAACTTGAATAAATTAATTAAAACTTTGATAGTATGAAAAACGTGTTGTCAACTTGAAAGTAACAATTTATTCTGACATTTACAATGTGCCAATTTTTCACTATTTGGCGTGTAATTTGAAGTGCAAACAACGTTTTCCGAATTAATTAATCTAATATTATCTAATCTTAATCTAAACATCAAAATAAGCTTATTTTAAAGTCACATTTGTGCCTTATTCCCAATATGAAATAATAAACTACATACAATAACTGCATACAATATAATTTTTATTAAATAAAAAATGTTCATACACAATAATTATTTGGCAACGTCCGTCCGTCTGGTCAAAACACCAAGTAACGAGTAGTAGAGGTGGGTCGTGGTAGTTTTATCGTTAAGAGCGAAGACACAAAATTTCGGGCCAATATTTTTTAAATGCATTCATTTTTTTCGAATCCTGAGAAAACTAATAAATATTTTTGAAAAATTTAAACGCAGAATGAAACAATACATTATTACCTACGGCCGAAAGTCCCTGAAAACTTCTATAATGTTTATTTTAATAAGTTATAGGGGTGAAAAAAAAATTAGTGTGATTTTTTAATTTCAAATATCTCATTCAAAAATCTTTTTGTTTATTCTAAGGGACTTTCGGCCCTCGGTAATAATGTAATCTTTTATTCTGCATTTAAATTTTTCAAAAATATTTGTTAGTTTTCTCAGGATTTCAAAACCCACCCTGCAAACTTTTTAAAAGTTGGTTCTTCACCTATGGAAAACGGATAAAACGAGCCTTGGACTAAGTTTAGTAAATCTTGAAAATTAACCAGTACAAGAAAAAGAAACTGATAAAGATGACTAAAGTCCATGGTATATATTTGATGAATTAATTGGGCATGACTCATCTAAACATACACCTGTATCGAGAGATATAAAAGAAGTCGACATGTATTTGTCTGATGATATATTACTCACAAAAAATTTTGAACGGAGATTGGAACTGTCCATTACCGTGGTAGAAAAACCATCGCCATGTATATCCTAACTTAACCACTATATTCATAAAATATTGTAGTATTGTAACAAAATATTTTCCTTGTGAACACATGTTTAAAATCTGGTTTAATTTTAAATAAACTAAGAACACGGTTAACAAGAAAAGTGGAAAAACTTGTTTTTAAATGTCAATTTAGACGATTCGCGATTTAATAATGTGTAACGTAAATGTTTAAATGAATACGTTTTTAAAAACCTAATTTGGAAATATAAGGGAACAAACATCAATGGTCGCTACCTTAGTAATCTACGATTTGCTGATGACATAATCCTGATAGCTACTGACCTACAAGAAATGCAAACCATGCTTTAGAACTACATACCAAATCTTCTAAAATAGGACTGAAAATGAATTTAAACAAAACAAAAGTCATGCACTCCGAAGACACCGTGACAATAATAAACGATAAGTTATAGAAAAAATTGAAGAATATAATATATACGTAGGACAAACAATAATTCTAAATAGGGAAATCCAAACTGAAGAAATAAGAAGAAGAAGAAAGTTAGCTTGGGCAGCATTCGGTAAACTGAACTCTATACTCAGAAATCAACAAATTCAATTACATCTTAGATCTAAAGTTTTTGAAGCATGCATTATTCCGATAATAACTTATGCCGCACAAACATGGACAATTACAAAAAAGAATATGAATATACTTAGAGTCACTCAACACGCGATGGAAAGAGCAATGCTAGATATATAACTTAAAGACAAGAAAACAAACACATGGATAAGACAGAAAACCAAAGTCACCGATGTGGTGCAAAAATCATTAAAGTTGAAATGGGAATACGCTGGAAATGTAGCTGGGAGCGATCTAAACTGGAGACCATACCAACACAAAAGACCCAGAGGCAGACCTCCTATGAGATGGACAGATGATCTGAAAAGGACTGCCGGGAAAAATTGGCTACAAGTAGCGAACAATAAAAAACAATGGTAAGAAAGACTTGAAGAGGCTTATGTTCAGATGTGGACGTGAATGGCTAGACGAAGAATAAGAAGAAGAATGTAAATGTAAGTACTATTTGTATTGTTTAATTTATTTTTCAAGTTATAATAAATAGATCCTTCGTTAGGTTCTTTCACTTCAATACTTATACACATAAACGATAATAGCCAATATGTTTGTGTACTCGCTAATTTGAATACTGGTAAATCATCAACTAGTTACAGTTTACGAAAAACGGTTTCGATAAAAATTTAAAAAACGAGAGGACCCACCTCTAGTTTTTTAGGTATATTAGGATCGGAACCAGAGAATATGTAAAATATCTCTGATCGGAACTATTCGTCTCACTATTGGGCAATGAGTGTTAAAAATATTTATGGAGGGGAGACGAAGGGGAAATATGATTGTTATCTTTGTCTATTCGCTGAAAATATGATTTTATATCTGCGTTAGATATCCTGTTAAATTTTACCATACCGACCATAAACTTTTACCTACACTGTATATATAATGTGAGTGCGATTAAAAACTCACTGTAAATGGGGATATCGGTCAAGGAGAAAAAAAAAGTGAAAAAACTATTTCAATCTTTTAATAGAAAAGGTTTTGTGCAGTATTTCTGCACTTCTTCAGTTCTAATGATTGTAAAGTCATATATAGATGTCAAACAATATCAAATGCAAACGTTGAGTTTTTTTAAAATTTATACAAACACTAAAAAGTCATAAAATCATACTATGTTAACAAGAACAGTATAATATAATGCAATACTTCTATTATATCGCTGATGTACAATATATCGAAACATGAAGCCAGGAGAAAAAGTAACTTGTTTTAATTAGAGCTTAGTAAACAATTTGAAAAAAAATTGAAAAAAAGCATGGAAAGTTAACTTTATTGTTAGGAGACACCAAAGCAAGTAAAAAAAAATTGAGAGTAACTACTGACCTAATATCTAAATAAGTTTCAAGGCAAAATGATTATGTTTGTAGAAATATTAGTAGATAGAAGTTAACCTTGGGAATGTAGTGTCTAATAGGCATATTCTATGGGAACATCCGAGACGAGAGGTCTAACTTTGGTGTAAAGCGGTATTTCACGTTTGTTGATCAATTTAATTCAAGCATCGATCTTGAAGTGTGCAGTATTATATCAAAATGTGGAAAAAGAATAAACCTTTGAGTGAAGCTGAGTTGTATGCCTTACTCCTATCAGATAGTGAAGAAGATAATGTTGCAGAGCTGGATGAAAGCAATAGTGAAGCGAGTGATAATGACGGTTGTGAGCCAGAAGCACATGAAGGTAATTTATCAATTACTGAACTCGAGAATGAGGAAGTTTTAGCGACAACTTCTGAAAATATAGATAGTGAAAGATCTAGCGTATCTGATGTTTTGTGCGAAGGACGAACATGGCGTTATTTAGCTCCAAAAAAGGGTAAGACATTGGCATGTAATTTATTACAGAAAAACGTAGGTCTAACTAAGAAAAGTCAAAATATTGAGACATGCATGGATGCCTTCAATTTATTTTTTTCTGATAGTATAATGTCAATGATTCTTGAGTATACCAATAAGAGAGCTATTGAGTTCATAGCTGCGTATAACAGTAAGAACGAGAAAAAAATGAAGGATTGGATTGAAGTTGATCTAGTCGAACTGCGTGCTTTTTTTGGTATACTTATATTATGTGGAAGGTTCAGAGAGTCCCATGAGAAGGTGCATAATTTATGGTCCAATACAAATAATGCATTTACGCGTCCTATATATAAAGCATCTCTAAGCCGGGATAGATTTATAAGTATTTTGAAGCATATTCGCTTTGATAATTTGGAAACGAGAGCAGAAAGAAGAGAACGAGATAAATTAGCTCCTATTCGAGAAATCGCTGATCTATTTGCCCAAAATTGTAGGGAATCATACGAACCATCTGCTTTTGGTACTATTGACGAGCAGCTTATAGATTTTAGGGGACGTTGTCCATTTCTGATTTATATACCAAGTAAACCAAAGAAATACGGTATAAAGGCTTGGACCCTATGTGACGCTGAAAATTTTTATTGCTGTAACTTTGAGATATATACTGGACAGATTGGTGATCAATCTGAACGTAACCAAGGCCCAAGAGTTGTCAAAACACTTGCAGAACATTGGTATAGGTCTGGTCGAAATATTACAACTGATAACTTTTTTACCGATATTGCTTTATCTGAAGAACTGTTAACCAAAAATTTAACTCTTTTGGGTACTATCAGAAAAAATAGGAAGAGTTTACCCAAATCATTGCTTGAAATGACAGATCGCTCACTGTATTCTTCAAAATTTTTGTTCACTAAAAACATTACCTTAGTTTCATATGTAACCAAGCCTAATAAGTTTGTTGTATTATTATCGACCTTACACAATGAACATGAAATTTCTGATGAAAACCAAAAATTTAAACCAAAGATTATTTTGGATTACAACAAAACCAAAAGTGGAGTCGATATTTTAGATAAATTGATCAGAGAGTACACATGTAAAAGAGCAACAAGAAGATGGCCCTTACGTATATTTTTCAACTTTTTGGATATTGCGTGCTACAATGCTTTCGTTCTCTGGAATACGAAAAATCCTGAATGGAACAGCCAAGTAAATATAAAACATCGCAGAAAACTATTTCTGGAGGAGCTTGGAAAACAATTAACCTCGCCCAATATAAAACGAAGAGCGGAAGCAATACAAGAAGAACCCACCGGATACCCTAAATCCGTAATCGCTGCAATAGAGACCACCGGTGTTAGTGTAAAAAAGCAAATCGAAGTGCCGAAATCTGCAACAAACGAGGTCGTTGTTATTCTTGTAGGGGTAGTGACAATAAATATTCAAAAAGGTGTGACATGTGTAAAAGATTTGTTTGTAATACTCATTCAAAACGCGAAGAAGTCCATATTGTCAAAATTAAATGCAACTACTGCCAAAAAGACCACGATGGTGAACCATCTTAAAAAATTTAAATACAAAAATTTGGGATCATAATTTTTATGTTTCTTTGTTTTTTTTTTGTTGAATTAAAGATACTGTTTAATAATACTGACTATTAAAACATCCTTATAAATAGAATGAGAATGGGTCACGCTTGACCCATCTTCGTAATCTAAGTAAGTCAAATAATAACCGTACTCCGAAGGTTATTATTTTATTTTATTAGCTATTTTTTATTAATGTTTGGTATAAAAAATAATATGTTTTGTAAGTGCTCTATATAAGTTATAAAGTAAATTTATCTCCTTACCTTGTTCTCATCTTGAACTTTACTTATATAAATTCAATTTGTTACAGAACAGTTTATTTAGCAAATAACTTATTTACGACTACAAACATTTCATATAAATATGTTTTATGCTATGTTACAGTCACAGACAATGCATTCATAATTTACGCTAGTTTGAGCATATGTGCAGCCGCTGTAAACTCGAACAAACTTTATTATTGCTTTGTAGGTGGATGACATCAAATGTGGCGGACATAAACCCTGGTTTCAGGAGGCCTGCAATCAAATGGATTGCCCGAGTTGGATAGTAGGGAAATGGTCGGGGGTAAGTACTTACTGGCTATTATGTCAGAGATCTCAAATCTTTGTTATACACAACTTTTGGGATCGTAATAAATTTGTACTTGTAAAACAATCGATTAGAATATCTGTTTCACCAAATACTAGGAGCAAACTACATTTTATGTGATTTTCATGCAATTATTGTTAGGTATACGTATATAAATATACAAAAATACTAAAATACCTATCTTAAAGTTATCTAAATTTGCCGTTGCTTAGTCCAGTCGTCAGAGAGTTGACCCCTAAAAATAATACGAATAAGCTGAATTTCGCAGAGAATATTAATTTTGGGACACCAAAAAAGGTGCAAAAAAAGTTTGCGACTTCTGCCTTAGGGTTCCCCCCTTAGACCATAAAAACTGATAGACACGCCTTGTACCGAACCGTTGAAGCAAAGACCTTCCGCGAAAGTGACGTCACAATGAGGCAAGAGCCCGCTTGGATTCTTAGCAAAGCACTAGTATAATTACCCAATTTTAGATTAATTTTAATATAACTTCAATATTTTGTAAAAAATATGGAAGATAAATTATTTAGCAAAGTAATTAATAAATATTTTTGCCTTAAATTGTAAAAATAAATGTTTTATTTGAAAGTACATACCTACATATATTATTATATATATCGTTGGTATATCACTTCTTGTTTGATATTCAGAAATAAATTTAAAGGAGAATAATTTTCTTTTGGGTGGAAGTTTCAGGATAGGTAAAAAAATATGTAGGAAATCTATTAATTTATTGACCACAAAACAAAATAGCTTTTGTTAACTTACTTCTAACTCTTATTACATTATTTAGTTTTTCACCTTCGTGGTACAATCTAATGTTGCAATAATGGAAACAAATTATCTTTATTAGATTAAACAAATGGTTTGTTTCAAATTCATGATCAAACATATGTTCTTTGTATGCGTTAAACACAGAACCATGCACGTTACTCATGACATTTAAGATCAATTTTGTCATTATTTTGGAATCGTTTAATTTTTTTGAATTGTACATAAATTTAATTTCGCTTTCAGCAATTTTGCAAATATGAATGACGTCTTTAGAAGGTTGAATTAAAAAATCTTTTGACATGCTATAATTTTTGTGTCTTATGAATGGAGATTGTAAATTATCACATTCAATTGCACACAAACATATGTCACAATCTAATGTTTTCTTAACTTTCTTAACGACAAACCCAGCGATATAGTCAACAACATCACAAACATAAGATGACAATGTTCTTGAAAAACTTAAAATATTTACAGTATAATCCTGATCCTGGTTACTAGTTATTGTTTCCCTATTATTTTCATCAGTTATAAAGTTGTCAATGAGTTGATGATCAACAGTTTTCATTTTCACAGTATTTGTTGTGCTCATTGCTAATATTATGGAAGGTGCCTGTTCTATACAATTAGCCTGGGTAGATCCTGTAACACTTGTGTGCATTAATAGTCTTTTATATGCAGCTTTAAATTGTTTTGCCGTTGGGTTGTTGTTGTAACCTCCATGACTCCTAATAGAACTAAAGAAAACTTCTAAGTGATCTTGAGAAAGTTTATAGGCCGAAAGATACTTCAGACCTCCATCCATATCCTCCACGTAATTTTTCCAAATTCCCATTAGTGATTTTAAACTAATGATCATACCAATAAAACCCGTCTTTCTTTGGCTTAGATATAGGGGTTCACCATTTTTGGAACACTTAAGTGAACTAAAATATTTTATAGATTCTTCAGTTTTTTGAAAAATCGCTTGTTTATTATGATGCTGTAAACTAGATTTTAGGTGTTTTGCCAATAAATTTCGTCTATTTAAAATATCAAAAATATCATTGATATGTTCAATGAAATTTTGAGTAGCTTCGCTATGTACAAATTCTTTTGAGCTTTTATTTCTCAAATAATGTATTGCCTTAGCAACTTTTTGGCTGAACGTTTGGGCAGCTAATTTCACTTTCATTTTTTCCTTATACCAATTTAAATGCCTTCGCGTTATCCTAGTTGCAAGATAAAGGCCTTCCTTCTCTTGAATGTCTACTAATTTTTGCAAATATTCCCATTTAATCGCTTTATTATTCCCGTCAAAAAAAATTTGGTAATAACCTAAAGTATTGCGAATAAGTTTCAACATATGTGGAGGGTCAAACATTACATATATTGGTTGATTTGTTGCTGGATGTAGAAAATATACTTTATTGGAATTAATCGATAAATCAACTCCAAGTTGTTTAACCATGCTAATATTTGATGCTGCACCATCAAATGTTAGACTGGTAATTGTGACATCAGCTTCGTGCATTATTTTTAAGCACATTTTTATTAGATTACTTTTTTGAACACCTGATAACCCAGCGATTAAAAAGTATCCTATCGGCAGCTTCCATGAATCATTTAAACTATTAATTAAGAATACAATTGCTTCTTTTGCTTTAATTTCGGAAGAATCGCTTTGAGGTTTACTTCCTATGTCAACATACCTAAAATTAATGATTTCAATTATTTAAATAGAAAATATAATGTTATGATACTTTTTTTAATTGCTAATAAATATTAAGCTACACTTACCCTAAAAACTTTTCACCATCCCATTCTATTTTCTGGTGTATAGACATTTCATCGACCATCAAAGCACAAATACATGATTTTCCTTTATTTCTAAGTTCAACTACTTTTTGTTTTAATACATTCACTGCTTCTTTTCAATCTAATTATAAAATGAAAATTATATATAAGGGAACAAAAAGTAAAATAATAGGTGCTAAATTTCTGGTATGTTTTTTCAAGTTTAATTTGTGAATTTACTTACCCGTGAAATGATATATCTGTCCCTTTTTTGTCGCTGCGTACAATTAAATGCACTGCAAGATGCCACCATAATTATAATATTAATGTATTGGAAAAATTTTAAATTTAAACACTTTAAAACGTTTACAACGCGTATAAACACTACTAATCTCTACCGTTTCTGCCTCAAACTGACGTCACCCACAGCTGTGTGAATCGTTTTATGTTGGCTTCACTCCTCGAGACGAGAGAATAGCATTACGGCGCGTCTATCAGTTTTTATGGTCTAAGGTTCCCCCTAAAACTCTTTTCGGAGGGGAGTAAAAGGGCAAAAAAATCAATCATGTGTACACCGTAGAAAAAAATATTTCAAATCAAAAATGAAGCTGAGATTATTTTAAACAAAAATGTTGTAACCTCGGAAACCTTTTTGGATGGTGCTAGAAAGGTCACCAATGGAGACACTGCGGACGGCAGTCAGATGGTTGGTGGAGAGCGAGTTGTGGGTTCGAAACTAGCTGTTTGGAACCGGGAATGGGTCTAACGGACGAAATAAGTAGAGATAGAACAAGATAAGATACATTAGAAAAGATACAGAAATAAAGAAAAAAGATAGATGGATAAAATTACCAAAGATACGATAGAGATAGAAACAGGGCGCCACTCAATTTTTTGGGTTTTAAGGAGAAAATTAAGAAACCTTAGAAAAAAAAAGAGGTTAAGGAAAGATATTTAGGTTCAGAGATCAAACCCAAGAAAAAATATTAACAGTAATTATTAAATAAATTTGGCCAACACACTATATAAAACAATAATTAATATATTAGGTGGACTCCGTCCATCTACTTACCTACGAAACTTAATCAGCCTGATCTTTCTCCTGGTCAAAGGTATAGTAATAATTAAAGGTTAAAAGCAAATATTCAGAGTTATGGTTATATCAGGAAACTTGTACACGCAAGTAATAAAAATACACCATCAATTATGAAATGGTGGTATGCATATAAAAATAAAGTTGATTAAAGAAAGATCTCTCTTTGCTGTTTAATGGGCATATCCCGAGATATTGGGTTAAAAATTTATAACAATTATAGCAAATAACAAAAATTTTTCAAATCTAAATTTACAAGAATTACAACAAGGTTACAGAAATAAAAATTTAACCAAACCGCACTTGGTCGTAGTGAATTATCTATCTTGCACTGTTATTTAATGATCGAGATCTAAATGTTCGTAATTATTATTTATTGAAATTTCATAGTAGCTGATGGAACGTTCGTAAGAAAATATTGAATGTTCTTTAAATTGAATACAAAAATCAGTAGTTACTCTCCACTACAGGTGAAGACATGGATGACTTTAGATTCGTCCAGATAATGGAAGATGATATGATACCATACCATCTTTTTTGCCCAGATAATTGAAGATGCTAATGATTATTTACAGTAAATCTTGATGACTGCTGCACTAATTCACTAAAGCTATGTACTATACTCGAATACTTTACTTGTATCCAACACTGAAGTTAATTAACATTAAAGGTACTTTATAACTATATTCAATATAATATAGTATAAGATCAAAAAACTCAAATATACAAGTGTATACACACTTAGAAAGAAAAATGCACAGAGAACGGTACGATAACAGAGACGATAATATGAGCGAAGCGCCCCACGAGAAGTCTTTCCTCAACGAGTGCCCACTCAGAACTGAATCTTTCTTCTCCAAAATTTACCAACTTACCCACAAAAAGGTGAGGATATCTCCCACCTAAAAATTGGGACAGTATCCATTTCCAAGAAGGTAAAAAGCTCTAACGCACATCGAACATAACGGTAACCTTCTAGCTAGAAACGTGATGAAATATAAATTCCCTTGGATTAATTAGGTTATTGTAGAAAGAAAATATTACAAGGTGCCTTCGGTCATATCTAACAAATTTATCAAAAGCCGGCCTTAAAGCCGGAAGGAATTAACCAAGGATTACCTAAACCGTAAAATTCCCGTGACATTTCGGTAGTCGGTTAGAGTGCAATAAAATTTTCCAATCGTAAACACAACCATCGGCGTGTCATCCACAGGGGTGAAAGAATTAACATTTATTTAACATTTTAATCATAAAAAGGATGTTACGAAGTTTATTGGCAATTTTGAGTAGAATTAACCGTTCTTTCAGAAGTAACTTCTGAAACTTCTTTCTTGAACTAACCGGTGATTTTGCATGTCAGTTACGCGAGCAAAATCTATGTTCACCAAATTTGTATCAGCACGACGGTTCGAATTCGATATATTTTTATACAAATGTCCTATTGACAAAAATCAAGATGCGTTTTAAATAAAAAGAGTGCAGCTGTTGTACGCATGTTTTGTATTTTGCCAAGAATAAACTCAGTTTTGATAAAGGTGTTAAATAAATTAACGTGGCGTGATTTTTGCCATTTTTTAGGATTCTCGTGAGATTAATGAAATTAGTCACTTTATTGACCAGTTTTAGTAAAATTTTAAAACCTATAACATGAAGTTTTAATATTGAGTTGTGCTGAACAGATATGAGGCATTTGAAATATGAATAAAAACGCAGAATTTAATGTTTTACATTACAAAAAATCACACGTCACGGGAAATGCAATTCAGAAGACGGTTTTGGGTGTAGTTTATTACAAATTTTTGTTCTTTGAAAAACATACTAGTGTAATTAAAAAAAAAGGGTTGAATATTTTAGATCATTTGTTGTTTGGAAGTTTAAATTCAGCGTTTTTTTAAGCATACTTCAGATGCCTTACATTTGTTGCCAGAACTTAAAACTAAAATTTCAGAGTATAGATTTCATAGGTTAGGCTCTAGTTCTCGAAACTTTATAATGGATAGTCAATGAAAGATACAGATTGATCTCGTGAGAATCATAAAAAATTGAAAAAATCGTGCCACGCTTATTATTTAACACCTGTATAAAGTCTGAGTTTATATACGGCAAAAATACAAAAACTGCTAACGAAAGCTGCACTTTTTATCTTTAAAATGCATTTTGATTTTTGTCGATAGGTTAATTAATTCAAAAGATATCGAATTTTTACCACCGAGTTAATACAAATTTTATTTAATATTGATATAGCGCGCATAAGTGACATTCAAAATCGCCGGTTACATCAAGCCTCATTTCTAAGACAACGGTTAATTCTACACAAGAAGTCCTAATAAACATTTTTGTTTAAAATTATCTCAGCTACATTTTTTACTTAAAACATTTATTTCTACAGTGTACAGATTCTTGTTAAATCGATTTTTTGCGTTTTCACCCCCTACGAGTGAGGTTTTAGGGGGAAGCCGGGAATATGCTCGACAAAATTAAGCTTGTTTTATGATTTTTATAGGTTCATTGGAATTTTCATCTCTGACTACTGGAGTAGCTACCAATTTTCCACTTTGATTTAGATTAAAAAGAATATTTCTCTGTGTTGGTAAATGTTGTCTGTGTGAAAGCATTTCACGAGACATAGGATTGTATGTAATACAAAAGTTCGTTTTACAGAATGTAATTAATAATTAATTAAACATATATTATTTGACTAGTACAGGGATGGCCAACCCGCGGCACGCGTGCCACTCTGTGGCACGAAGTCCTATCAGTGGCACGCGTAGCGTTCCACTGATAGGACTTTTAAACTGATCAAACTTTCAAAAAAATTAAAACTTGAAAAACAAAAAATAATAAGAAGAATACTTGGTAGGTTTTACGGAAGTTACGATAGATGCGGCATCATTGCATCCTCTGGCGAGCGATATTGCTGCGATTGGTGCACGTGATCCAGCTGTCGTAATGTGCAATAGGACTGCGTTACCCTTGCTTAGTTTATTTTAAACTACCCCGTTGTATGTGCACATTTTGTCATCGCGCATTGTTTCTTTAAAATTTTAAAAGTATTTGTTCGATATGTCCACGAGTAAACCTTCAACTTCAAAACGAAAATACGAAGATGATATTGCAATTCGCGATTTTTAAACCTGCTTGGGAAGAACAATTTTTATTTACTAATCGCAATACTTCAAAGCCTGTTTGTTTGATATGTGGATTGTCTGTAGCAGTTCCGAAAAAATTTAACCTGGAATGACATTATAAACAACTGCATAAGGACTTCAGTTACAAATATCCTATTGGTTCACATTTTGCGAGCCGACTTTATTGAAAAAAAAAAGAAAACCCTAGCCAGCCAACAGTCACTGTTTCAGAAGAGAAGTGATGAAATGGAAACTATGGTTAAAACATCATATGAACTTTCTCTGCTGTTATCCCGGAAGAAAAAAGCCTACTCTAATGGAGAGGAGATAATTAAAAATAGTCTGGCAATATTTGCTAAAAATGTGGGAGATGTAAAGATCAAAAATATGGTCGATAATATTGCATTATCCCGAAATACAGTCATGCGCCGTATAGATAATATGGGCCAGGATGTTGTTTCCCAAATTATAAGTGGATTTCAATGCTGCAAATTATTTTGTGTAGCGTTGGATGAAAGTTGTGACAACACAGAAAATGCGCAGTTAAGCATTTTTGTCCGTTATACCAATGATAATTTTGAAATGCCGAAGAGCTTCTGGATTCGCTCCAACTAGTCACAACAACAGGAGAGGGTCAACAAAATAAATGGTCAAAATTAGATAGTGTTTGTACAGATGGAGCTCCTTGCATGGTTGGTAGACTAAAGGGGTTTGTTAATTACTGGAAAACTATTTGGGAAGAAAAGTTTTTAAGTACCATTGTATTATTCACCAGGAAGCTCTTTGTGCCAAGGACCTAAACATGTCATCTGTTGTTGACCCTGTAACACGCTGCATTAACAAAATACGAGCTCGAGCATTGAATCGACGACAATTTCGAGAACTGTTCGCGGAAGAAACGGAGCAAGATGGAGAGTTACTTCTCCATTGCAGTGTGCGCTGGCTCTCCAAAGGAAATGCACTCGAAAGGTTTTGGAACTTGAAGGAGTGCGTCTTAAAATATTTGCAAGAAAACAATGAACTACCCAGTGAGTGCTCGTTACTTAATGATAAAGATTGGCTTTGGGATTTAGCTTTTCTCACTGATATTATGAGACATTTAAATCTATTAAATTTAAGATTACAGGGAAAAAATTGTATTTTTCCTACTCTAGTTGGTCATATATCTTCTTTTGTGAATAAACTTATGCTTTTTTGTAACGATTTTGGAGAACAGAGATTGACACATTTCACATTAATGCAGGAATTAGCCAACACGGTCAGTAGAACTCCAAATTATGACAGATTTAAAAACCTTATATCTATTTTGCTAGGTTCATTCAATACCCGGTTTGAAGATTTTCAAAAAGACAAAATACATGTTGACCTTTCATAAATCCTTTTTCTATTTCTCTGCAATATATCAATTGTTACTCAGCTGAAATACAGATCAAAATTATTGATTTATAGAACCACACTTTACTAAAAACCAAATATAGGGAAATTATTTCAACTGTTACTGATCCCAATTATATTGAATTTTGGAAATTTGTACCAGAACAATTTTCCTAATTTACACGAGTTAGCTCTGAGATATTGTTGTAGATTTGGTTCAACGTACGTTTGTGAGCAAATGTTGTCTATTATGAACATAATAAAATCAAAATATCGGTCACGATTAACTGACATGCATTTAAAAAATCTAATTCTGTTGGCTAGTTCCGAAATTAATCCCAATATAGATGAATTAATTAAAAAAATACAAGTTCAAATACCACATTAAATAAGTAACTGTTTAATAATTTGAATTTTAGATAATAAGAAAATATTTAAGTTTTTTTGTTTAACGTTTTATTTTATTTTTATTAACAATAAAGTAAGTTTGTTGTTATGTTTTACTTATTACGTTATTTTTTAAAACCTCCACTATCTTGACTAAATGGAAAAATGTGAAATTTACATAAGAAATACATATTGTACCGTATATTATTAATATATAGTATCCATATTAGTATGTCGAAAAATTTTAGTGGCACGCCAATTTTTTTTGTTCTCATATTCGCACTTGACTTAAAAAGGTTGGCCACCCCTGGACCAGTATGACCGTATAGTTTTAGATCAGACATTAATTTAAAAAGATATAATCTGGTTAAACTTGCCTTCTCCATTTATTTTCGCAACAGTTATGTTCCATGTTCTACTGCTGTGCTATTAAACTGCGTTTATGTAGATATTAATTCTATGATATTTAAATACTTCATAATTTATCATTATTGTTTTAATTTTTTTGACGTTTATGTTGTTTTTGATTTTAGTTATTGTTAATTAATATATTTTATAGTGCTCTTTGCGCATTAGTGCATTTCTCTTTTATAGTGCTCTGTGTCTTGCGGTGAAGGTGTTCAAGTCCGAAATATAGAATGTAGAGACGACGATGATAAATTTAGCAACTTGTGCCCATTAGAAACGAAACCTTTAAACACCAAACCCTGCTCCACCGGTATCCAATGTCCTTTTACTGTCGAAACCAGTGAGGAATTACTGCCTGGACTGTACCATACGCAACCACTGGTACAACCATACCCTCCACCTCCAATTCCCGAGAGACTAATTGGGGAGCAAATTGTACCATCCGAAAGCACGTAAGTAGTTTTTAATACTGTATATATACAACATCAAATGGACCAAGAAAAATATTTATAAAATAACTTTGATTATTACATACTATAAATGTTAATAAAAATTTGGCAATTACTGTATACTTAAATACCATATGCTATATACACATTATTATATTAAAAAATTGGATTTACTTCACTTTTATTTTGAAATTACTTATTTAATACCAGTGTACATCTGATATGAATAGCAGAATAAAACTTTTCCTTTTTATTGTCAGATCCAAAGATCTGTAAATATTTATGAATCGATAATATATCTCTTATGTGGACCATCAACTATCCGTTCATCTATTCGGCTTTTTTTCTTTCAGTTCTCGCTAGCTTTCTCTCTAACATAATTATCGGTAGACTGTGTTTCTCCATTCTTTTTGCATGACTATTTTCACTACTCTCTATATTCCCCATTTTGCAGCCTCTCATCTCATTATTTCATATCTCTTATAATTTGGCACTTGCTAAATATATTGTTAGTATATATAATTACTTTATTCTAAGCATACTTTTGGTTTAATTAGTGTCTATATTGTCTGCTTCTATGTATCGATTCTTCTTAGTTACATCCTTTAGTCCTCCTGACAAAGCTGCTATTTTTTTATAAGCCCACTGTTATTTAATTTATATTCAGATAGAATATTTAAAGAAGCGCTGCATAATTTGGAATGGGGCGTAAAAGTTAATGGAATTCTGATAAATACAATCAGATATGCAGACGATACAGTTATTTTAAGTGATGACATGAATGGATTACAATGCCTTTTAAATGCCATTGATAAAGTGGGAAGAGAGTTTGGCCTAAACATAAACTGTTCAAAAACAAAACACATGGTGTTTAGCCGTTTAGCACATCAAGATGCACGATTATATGTTGATGGTCATATAATTCAAAGATGGTCCAGTTTTAAATATCTTGGTTGCCATATTACTGAACAACTAGATCCAGATCAAGAGATAAAATGTTGAATCGAGATTGCCCGCACGACATTTTTAAAAATGAGGTCATTCTTCTGTAATGATAACTTGCAACTTCAACTTCGGAAGCGCATGTTTAAATGCTACATTTGGTCAGTCCTCTTATACGGTGTCGAAGCATGGACATTAAAAATATCCACGATTAATTGTCTGGATGCCTTTGAGATGTGGCTGCACAGACGTATACTAAAAATTCCATGGACGGCTATGCTGACAAATGTGGCAGTCCTTGAAAGAGCAAATGCTGCTCGCGAGCTGCTTGATAACATCAAATGTAGAAAGATGGCCTATTTTGGACACGTAGTAAGGGGAGACCGATATAATATTCTTCAACTTATTATGATGGGTAAAATCGAAGGACGTAGAGGAATTGGTAGAAAGCAGGCCTCTTGGTTGAAAAATATCAGGGAGTGGACAGGAATAAAGAAAGCTGAGCAACTATTTAGAATAGCTCGAAACAGAGACAGTTTCGCCATGTTAATCGCCAACGTCAAGGGGACTTGATAGGGCACGTTAAGAAGAAGAAGAACATCTCTTAAGGGGCGGATGGCCACCTATTCGGCTATCTTTTCGGCTGCCTTTCTTTGGTACGTGCTGGTTTTATCTTTAGTGTAGTTATCGGTAGTATGTTTTCCTCCATTCTTCTTACATGATTATCATTTACGACTCTCTACATGCCTCAACTTGTAACCTTCATTGTATTTTTATCTTATAATTTCTTAGGTGGTCTCTTATAATTTTGCCTACTATGATTGTTAATATATTTATTTCCTCTGCTTGAAGCATCTCTATCTATCTAATTAGCTTTTCTTCGGTCCATCTTTGGACATAAGTCTCCCCAATCCTTTTCCATTCTTCTCTGTCTGTCGCTACAGTCATCCACCTAGAGCCCACTTGCTTCTTGATATCATCTGTCCATCTCATTTGGAGCCTTCCTCTGCTTCGTTTATATTCCCACGGTCTCCAACTTATAAGAATTTTGTTCCATCGGTCCATACGGTTCCATACTTGAAGCATACTTTTAGTTTAATTCGCGTCTTATCTGCTTTCTATTGCGTATATCATACTAGTTCTAACGAAAGTCTTATTTATTCTAATTTTTATGCCTGACTATTGGGATATTGTACAAAATTCAATATGCAGTTGTCTCTGCAATCATCGGTTTCGGCTCTAATTGCCCCGTCATCTGCAAAGTAGACCATGGTGAGTGGTTTATCGTTCATTCTGTACGACATTTCACGGGTCAAATAAGATCTTACTGGCCTCTTCTCTGATGGATTTAGCTTTGACTAATTTTTTTTTGTTTCTTCTTTTATTTTTGTTGAGTCATTTACGTTTCTATTGTATTTTTTAAAGATTATCTTTATTATTATTGTATTTACCTCTTGCAGTGGCACCCTATCGAATTTTTACTTTTTTAATATTGGGAGTGTTAGAGGGAGAGTCTAACAAGAGGTGAAAATAAAGGTCACATCTTAAGTTACCAGGGAGACGTGAGCGGAATCAAATTTAACATACACCATATTTTTTCACCCATTTTTCACTAATGTATTAATACCTTAATTGTTTTTAATATTTTCACTGTACTCTATTTACAACCAAAATAAAAAAGTATTCTGGTAAGCCCTTACTAAACTTTGACGTTGATACTTTTTCACCACTAAACCAATCTTCCTGTTAGCTTAATATTCAAGCCAAAGAAGTTTAAAATATTTTGTTAAATACCACAATGTTCTGCTAGGTTTTTACGAATTTATTACCACCCTAGTAATTTTTCACTCCTCAACTAACCCCTGTGGGGAGTCAATAATTTTGCTAGGTTAAAATTTAAGGTGAAGAGAATGTTTTTTATAATTTCACTTTCACTTTATTTATAACCAAAATAAGAAACGGCTCTGGTAAGTTTTTACTGAATAATAACCAACTTCATAATTTTTGACTCCTACGCCACACTTAATGGGAAACATTTCACCAGCAACTCAATTACGCTATTTGAATTTAAAAAATCCTTTAGGAAATACGAAAAACGACATTGTTGTGCCAGATTTTGTACTAATTTATTACTACCCTAGTAATTTTTCACCTTTAAACTACATTTTATAAGAAGTCAATATTTCTGGTAGGTTCAAATTTACGGTGATAAAAGATCTATTCTTATAATGATACTGTACTCTACTTGTACCTGAAATCATAAATTGCTCTGCCAAGTTTTTACTATATTTTAATATTCCTCATAATCTTTGACCCCCTTCTTCTTTTTGTGCCACTCCTATCGGAGATTGGAAATCATCGAGGCTATTCTGACCTTGTTTACGGCTGACCTAAAGAGTTCATTAGTGGTGCAGCCGAACCACTCTCTCAAATTCCGCAACCATGACATTCTTCTACGGCCTGGATTCCGTTTTCCTTCTATTTTTCCCTGCATTATATTTTTGAAGTAATGCGTATTTATGTCCTCTCATCGGGTGACCAAAATATTCGAGTTTTCTTCGCTTTAGCATTAACTAAATCTCTGGGTCTTTTCCTATTCTTCGTATTACTTCACAGTTTGTTATTCTTTCAACCCAACTAATCTTCAGCATTCGACGGTAGCACCACATCTCGAAACTTTCAATATTTTTCATGTTGTTCTGTTTGAGAGTCCAGGCCTCTACACCGTATAATAGCGTGTTAAATACATAGCCTCTCAGCATTCTTAATCGTAGAGGAATGCTTATATTTCTGTTGCAGAAGAATTTTCTCATGTTTATGAAGGTGGCCCTGGCACTTTCGATACGTCTTTTTATTTCACTGTTTTGGTCTCCAGTTTCGTTTATTAAAGTTCCCAAGTATTTGTAACTTAATACTTTTTCAACTTGAGTGCCGTTTATACTAATATACGCTGGTTGTGTCATGTTTTTACTGAAGACCATATACTTGGTTTTTTTAATATTGATATTTTACCATAACTGTTGCAAGCAATATTTATGTCTGTAAGTAATCTTTGTAATTCTTCTACTGTTCTTGCAACTAGTACAGTGTCGTCCGCGTATCGAATATTATTTACAATCTCTCCAATAATTACGATTCCTCCGTTTGCTTGTAAAAGGGCTTCCTGACAGATGCTTTCACTATATACATTAAATAACAGAGGTGACAAAATGTGACCCCCTAAGTGACAGTTAATGGGAAACATTCCACCAGCTTCACATTCATGCTAGCTAAATACAAAATCTTTTTGGAAATTAAAAGTGCTGAGCTATATTTTTACTACATTTTTACCAGACTACCCTTTTTTTCTCAACTATCATAATTATAAAAACATGCTAAAATAGTATAAAACCGACGGATATAACGGGTTTTCTGTGGAGAATTTGACAACTTCCTATTTTTACTTGATTAGGTTAACACTTTCACTGCGCAACGCATTTTGTTGAAATGTTATTCTGTGCTGACCAACACATTTTTTTTATTTTTAAATATCAAATACTTCTTCTTGTTCTTTCTATATAGACATGACTCTGTCTGTTTTTAAATGTGCCTCCAGTAAGTTATCATTCCAGCGTTTTCGTGGTCATCCTACCGATCGTCTTTCTATTGAGGAACCGTCTCTTGTCGTCTTTACTACTTAATTTGTTGTCATTCGGTTTATATGATCGTTCCATTCTATTCTTCTGTTTCTTACCCAGTTTTTGATATTCTCCACCTTGCATCTACATCGTATATCTGTACTTCTAGCTCTGTCATATAGTGTCTTACCATCAATATTTCTAGGTGTTTTCATTTCTGCTATTTCTAATATTATTTTTGTCCTCTCTGTGTCAGTTCTTGCTTATCAGTCACTATGGCATAACACTTATGAAAGTTGCTGACCGAAATAATCTTGTATATTTCAACGATGGATCACATACATTCATAGGAAATTATTTGCAATCTCATTCTGCTTTCGATCTGACGATTTACTATCCTTGTATAAAACATTTACTATATTGGCACACAATAAAAGATCTTTA